TATGCCTAACCTTCAAAGCCGTTTCATTGCCACAGAAATAGCCTGTTCGCCCCTATCGGGCCACTCCATAAGCAGTCACAAGCTTGGATTAAGTAAGCTTAAAGTAAGGCTGAAAGAGTCAACCAATAGATTTGAAGGGAACATGTGCATAGCAGTCAGAACTGTTTCATTGTCTCAGGGCGAGACAGGATTTTCGTAGAATGGATGTCGGCGTCTAAAATGATCTTACTCTGAAGCAGTGCCAGGAATTGAGCAGACTGAAAGACAAAGGCCAGAGAGGATACTACAAGAATGGAACACTTTTTATGGTTCCAGAGACTCAGCGGGCGCCCTCGGGTTCCTTCGCCACAACCCACCAACACATTGGTAACACAAGGAGATCAGCGCAGGCACTCGGAACAAGAACAACGAGAACTCAAGGAGGTCGGTCTGCGGCGAGATAGGACTTCGGCCGGCCCCTTCAGAACAACAGTGAAAACAGAAGTACCGGAAAACTAAATAGCTACAATAACAGCCTATGTGAAAAAAAACTTACGATGTTAAACTACTTTCGTGGAATGTCGGCGGCTTGCAACCAAAACATCTTGATCACGATTTCATCTCATTCTGTTCAGAGTATGATATACATAGGTTCGTTTAATGAAATTAATGCCTGTTCCGAAGAACTGCTTCTTTCAAAGTTCCCTTGCTACCATTTATACTTTTCGTACCGTCAACACTATCTTGGTGGGAGAGTTGTTGTAATCATTAGAAATGCACTTTCTTTTTTTTTCAGCGTCTGACAGCTTCAGAAAAAGAATGTATTTTTCTTCCTCGTAGACAAAAGTGTGCTACGATCAACTGTGAATGTATTGTTCTGCTTTGTTTACATTCCCCATGAATACTCACCTGTGTATCGTGAGGCATTATTGAAGGGCGTTGACCAAGATATTGAATGGTGGGAAACGATCAATGTAAAATATGGAAACTTGCCCTGGTTGATTGCTGTGGATTTTAATTCTAGGACCAGTGTCATGGATGACTTTGTTTTGCCTGATAACGTGGCTTCTTTTGTATATGGATTTGACACTTGCGATCTTATCTCAGATTATATAGATTTCCATTCCAGGGGTCGTAAGTTTCGGGATTTGGAAACAAATGCATTTGGGCTTCAACTTATAGAGTTTTGTAAAATTAACAAACTTCAAATACTGAATGGCAGAGCAAATGGAGACGAGGAAGGTAACATCACCTGCATTGCAAACAAAGGCAAGTCAGTCATAGATTACATCATTGTAAGCACGGATGGGTTTCAGGATGTAATTAAAGCCTTTAAAATACTCCCTAGATCAGAGTCTGACCATTTCCCTCTTAGTCTAACGCTTACAGCACTTGGAACCGAATGTGAACCCATAGAACAAGAAGTTTTATGTCTTTTATATGATATCCAGAAATGTTTTTGGAACAACGCATACGTCGAACACTATGTACAGGCATTAGAGGACAACCTGTTATGTGTTCCAAATGAATTTTCTGATCTTATCCATCTAGATAAAACAAACGATGCTGTTGTGATGTTGAGTAATATTGTTAAAAGCACAGCCGATTGTATGCAAACTACAGGTGTTAAAACGTTCAAAAAGTGTACATCCCAACCACCAAGGTTTGATAACGAATGCTATTATGCAAAAAGGCAAAAATACGAAGCATTAAATGTACAGGAATTTCATATTTCGAACTCAAATGAAGCATTAGATAACTACCTCACGTTGAAAAAGAAATTTAAAAACCTCTGTAAATAAAAAAAAAATCACAGTATACACAATTACAAACTCAAATTCTAATTCACAATTGTTTGAAGCGCAATTCGAAAGATTTTTGGAAACCAGTCAATATCCTTTTGTGTAAAAACCAGGTAGCAAAGAATACTATTAAACCCAGGGAATGGTATGTCTATTTTGAGAAATTGCTAAACCCCCTCTCGGGGTCTGGTGGTAACGCCATTTGAAATGACGAGTCAACCAGCTTGAACTCACCTGTTTCCTTAGTCTCATGCCTCCCCTTGCGGTGAGCCAGGTGATTTGTTAAATTCACCGATTTCAAGAGACCAAATTGTATTGGCTATAAATAATTTAAAAGCTGGCAAGGCTTGTGGACCTGACGGCCTATCGCCGGAATTTTACAAATTCGGTTGCCAGGACCTGGCTGAATTTCTCCTATCTCTTTTCAATTCAGTTTTCTTCACAGGCAGCTATCCAGAGGGGTGGATCAAGTCGATGATATTTAGTTTGCACAAAAAAAGGAAACGAAAATGATGTTAGAAAACTATAGGGGCATTCGTTTACTAAATGTTCTTGGTTAACTATTCTCATTCATATTGAATAGAAGACAGCAACAATGGTGTGGTGAAGGTAACCTCATCCCTGAATCTCAGGCCGGTTTTAGACGAAATTACTTTGCAATAGATCTTATATTTTCACTCCAATCTTTAGTCCAAAAATACATCTCCAAGCCTGGCGGAAGGTTCTATGTATGTTTTGTCGACTTTTTAAAAAGCATTTAACTGGGTTGACAGAGAAAAGCTTTGGGCAGTATTGAGAAGTCTTGGCTGTTCTGGACCAATGTATACCGTTTTGAAAAATATGTATCAAAGTGTTCTTTCATGTGTTAAAGTCTGTTCAGGTGAACGAGGATCCATGAATTACTGAATACTTCCAAGGTATATCAAGTGTCAAACAAGGCTGCATACTTAGCCCTATATTATTTTCTTTGTTTATATCTCAATTTGAAAAACATCTTTCAGATTCAAATACCCGTGCTAAACAGGTATTGCCCAATGATAATGATGGTATTTTATGTTTAATGTACGCTGATGATCTAAGTCTTTTTGACGACAATGTCAGAGGTTTACAAAAGAAAATCAATATGTTGTATGATTTTGGTCATATGTGGGGTTTAAAAGTGAAAACAGAAAAAAGTAAGATTGTTGTTTTTAGAAATGGAGGCTGTCTCAAAAGATCTGAGAGATGGTATTGGGAGGATAAGATTATAGAAACAGTAACCTATTATAGTTACTTGGGTATTTCATTTTCATCGCGTCTATGCTGGAGATAAACGCTAGAAGATCGAGCTTGTAAAGCTCAAAAGATTGTTTCTCGAACAAGAAGGTTTTTCGGTTCTTATCTAGTATTACATTTCGAAATAGTAAAAAAAACATTTATTTCTCTGAAATTTGGGGTACCAAAAATTGGGACGTGATTGATAATGTTCAGGTAAAGTTCTGGAGAGCCTTTTTAGGTCTTGGCAAAACTACACCCAAATGTTTAGATCTAAGAGAAGTGGGAAGAACCAACCTATGTTCTGATTACATGCATTGTGTCTTTAAATTGTGGTGCAGACTTATACACTTAGAAAATGACAGACATCCGAAGAAATGTTACATGAAACTATATTGTTCCTGTGAACTGGGAAGAGTCAACTGGGCTACGGAAGCCAAAAACCTATTGCTTTCCCTGGATTTTGGATATACCTGGTTTTCTCAAAATGTTGGAAATACTAGACTCTTTCTCAGTCAAGTAAAAAGTAGACTTGTTGATCATTCTGTGCAGAACATAGAGGAAAAAGTCTGTCGCAAGTTTAATGTAATTTTCTCTCTTACAATTCCCTTTCAAGAAACAGCTGAATATATCACCAACCTCCCACGGTATTGGAGCCGAAGAGTTATAGCTTTGTTAAAAACCCATAGCCTTCCATTAAATAGCAATCTCTATCGGTGGAAATGAACTAAATTCACCCTTAAGTGAGAGGTGTAACTCTCATGAAATTGAAGATGAATAACACTTTATTTTCCATTGTTCACACTTTGTCTTTCAAAGGAAATTGTTAATTCCTCCCAGCCTGACTCAGCCCAGTGACAGAAATATGCAATGTTTGACCCATGATACGAGATATGTGCACAACCTGTACTTTTTCATTATGGAAACTTTACTTATCAAATGAGTGTTTTATGTGATGTGATGTGGACCAATGGCCTTAAACACTGAATAAACTTACTTACGTACTTACTTACTCCAACCACCCACATGAAATATAAGCACAATCCCGATAAGGAAGTAAAGTATTTACAAACAAACACCCCAATCGAGCACGCTTTGTCGATCCATTAATATTCATAGAAAACGATTACTTTAACACATGAAAGAACACTTTGATACACATTTTTCAAAATGGTATGCATTTGTCCAGAACAGCCAAGACTTCCACTCGTCAACATAAAAACATTTTGAAAAAATCTGACAAAATGAAAGCCTGTTTCCCCGATCCCCCTCTGGTCGCACTACGACAGCCACCTAATATTCGCACTAGAGTAGTAACCCCCACATCCTCA